GTTGTAGACAAAAGCTGCATGTTAACTTTGAGCTTCCAGAGGCAGTCATGGACCTGGCTTTGCAGTCTCTACTCTAGATTCTGACAGTACTGAGACACCTGGGCCAGTCTACTTCAGAGTAATCATAGCCGAAGTGCAGCAAGTTAATTGGTCACTCTCTAAGTGGACCAAACACACCTGAACGTCTATGAATCTTTGGACAGACCTCCAATCATTGGAGAGCTATAGAAAAAGCATGAAAGATCATCTCTTCCAGGCCTACATCCTTGTGGCACTCCCAGAATAATAACACAATAACCTGTATGACCCCTTTTCCTACTGTAGACATGCATAAGATTTGTGTCACTTTGATTTTTCCAGATTAAAGCTGTCTACAGCACCCACGTATCCATATTAGCAGACTAGCCCATCTCTCCTCCTCTCCTATTCTGAATTATCCAAGAGCTCCAAGGTTTTCTCAGTCCAAAAGATCCGGTCTTGCCTCAAAATAGTTCTTGGAGGAAAAACTTGGCAATGTGGTAAACCCATTTTTAGTCTCTTTTCTTCTATTGTTGCTTCTGTAACTGTCACGTGGCCCAGGTCTTAAAAACAGAAGATATGCCTAGTTGTTTGCCCTCCAGGAATCACATGTTTCTTTCTGGATGCCTGGGTGCTGCTCTGGGCATTGGACCGTTTCATCTGCTGACAGGGCAAGTGGAGGGAGAAAGGAGAGACCTCTCCCTGCAGTGTTCTCTGGCTCCTCAAATCCCAGCAATTTAACAGGAGACTGGAGAGGGCCTTCCAGTGGTGTTTTGGGGAAGGACCTTCCTGCCCCTCTCAGAGTCACCTTAGCCAAAGATTCCCCAAGTCAACAATGGCCTAGGCTCTGATATTTTAATTCTTGATTCCTTCATACCAGGGCAACAGCCAGCCCCAGGGAGTGCTATGTAAGAAACAGGCTCTGGAGCCCATGACCTCAGGAACCCTCAGACCATCCCCCTTCCATCTTCACATTGCTGCCCTGGAAGTCCTTCCTCCTCTCTGTTCCAAGTCCTCATCTGTCCCCCACCACAGAATGAATGACACTACTTTTAAGAGTCAAGCTTTCTTATTTCAAATCACATATCAATAGTTATAAAAATAATGTCCCAAATACAGTGGTCATGTATAAGGAATAGATGAGGAAGATTTTCTTAGCATAGTTTTGTAGATGAGGACACTGAAGCCCAGAGACATTAAGTGACTTTATCAAGGACACAGAGCAGAGCCAGAGATAGACCCCACATCTGTCTGATTCCCTAAAAATGAACCTATAGGTATGAGCATTATTTTTAGCATCATCACCTGGAACACAGACAAGAAGGAATGCACCTGGGTGGAGAGGTGGTGATACCAGTGACTACATCAAGGATACAAGTGCCATAAGGCTGTGGCAAAAATCCACCCAGGACAAAGGCTGGAACTGCACCCTCTCAGACCCCTTCTCTCTGGTTAGGGCGTGCCATCTTCTTCCTCCTTGGTCTCTCCTCCTGTCACACATAAGGCCAAGATGTCAAGTCCCTGTGATATCCATTCCTAGGTTGGAACTTCTTCCTTCCAGGCACTGCCACTGACTGGATCCAGTGGGCCAGGAATGGACCCATCCTGAGTGCCCAGGGCGTGGTAGGCACGGGCCCATTAACTAGACTCTTAGTTAATGTTTGTTATATGAACAAAGATGGATATTCACTAGACATGCACATCAGAGAGATGGCCAATTCACCACCCCCTTCAAAGGGTAACAGCCCCATTGACAAAAAGTCACCCTAGATAGTTTCTTGAATGAAGAATTGCTATTTAACATTCCTGAATTGTAGTGAATATTGGACTTGAGGGCAGCTGATTCCTATGCTGGCTACTGAGCCATAGGGAAGTCAAGCCCAGCCTGAAAATTGAGGGAGGACAAGGGAATGAGCCTGACCAGCACGATTTCTCCCTTTGTTTCATCTACTAGATTATCCAAGAGCTCCCCAGGAAGACCAGCCACATCAACAAAAGGAGAACTAGATGAGCAGTGAGACTGACTTCCTTACTCACCTGGAAGAGTACATAAAATAAGCCAATGTGTAAGAGATGAAGAACAAAAATACACAAATAGGAGAAAACAAACACTAAAGTCCCAGGACTGGTGATTCCTTAGATTTCAGATAACAAACTGGCTTCTTTTGTGATCCTGTCTCTTTTATTTAATGTTCATCCCAACAACAAATCTATATTATTCGAGGTAGCTTAACAGAGTCTCTGTTTGCAGCCAAACCAAAAGATCCCTTTTTGAGGTGGGTAAGGGCATGGCCCTGCTTTGGGGGTGCTGTCTTCTCTCTACCAGACAAACCCTCTGCTTCTGCCCCAGCATGGTCTGTCTCTGTGCTTGTTTCTGGTTCAACCTGGCATGTTTTCCTCCTGGATCTCCTAATGAGGTTCTTGGCCTTCCTCCTACAGCTTCATGGCCTCCTTCAACAGGGACCCTACAGGTCCAAACATGGGAGGACCGAGCTCCAGAGGTGGGTGCAGCACCCTCAGTGGATAGTGGTGAATGTTTATAAGAGCCATCTTTCTCCTCCTTCCCCACTGTCTTAGGGTTCTGTCCTCACACTGCCTCTTCTCACAACCTCGGTTTGCGGCTTCTCCTGAGTGGTGTCTCTGGACAAGAAGAAACCCGTCTCTCTTGGGTCTGGCCCACTTTCATGTTAGGTGCCTCTCTAGGTCCCACCTGGCTTCAGGTTTCTTGTCTCATCTTTTGGATTATCCAAGAGCTCCCCAGGAAGACCAACCACATCAACAAAAGGAGAACTAGATGAGCAGTGAGACTGACTTCCAAAACTTTGTGTTGAATGAGATTTGCAAATCTAGTGCATTTTGGAAGTTTACATTTCCAGAGAATGGTTTAACTCTCTGGTTAATCTAAAAACTCAACAGGAGAAGACGACTATATTCTGGTTTCACTTCTAAAGCAACAGAAGAATTCTAGGTTCTGGGATCTAGCATCTTAGCAACCTGTTCTTCATGAATGAGGAAACAGGATTGGAAAGGCCAAGCCCCTTGCCTAATTTCAGATCCATTAAAGAATCCTAAAATCCTCAGACTGATGCTTGTCTTCTTCACCAAAGACCCTCCCTGAAGTGCTTTCTTAATGGTATAAGCTATACAGTTAATAAGTTTGTTAGTGAGGTTACTGAGGAGGGAGTGAGGGCATGTGCAAACTGGATGTTATATATACATATACTATGTCATTTAATTCTTAAATCACCCTTTGAGATGATTATTACTGTTCTCACTTTAGAAACAATAAAACTAAGGCTCAAGGAGGTTAAATAATAATGATAACGATGACAGCTATCATGTGTTAAATGCTTGTTACATGCCAGTTTTAAATGATTTACATGTAGCAACTCAATCCTGCATACAAAAACCCTATTAGGTAAGCACTATTACTAACCAAATTGCCTGGGAACACACAGCCTAGATTTGAATCAGGTGCCACCACTCCAACAGCTGCATTTGAGCTAAAGCAGATGTTCCTAGAGCAAATCAAATTTCTATGTAAAAATGTGTGGGAAATTTCAAGGAACCAGCATCAAGCATGCAAACATGTTTATTGCAATTGTGTCCTAGATAAACAAGAATCTCTGCAAGGTGGATGGATAAGGTTTATTTCATGTTTGTTTCCCCAGTGCACTCAGCATGCTGGGGCGTAGCAAGTGTTACTTGATAGATAAATGAATGAATGAATATAAAATATTTTCATTGCTTTGCCATTAACTAATTTAGTGACCTTAGGCAATGGCTTGGTCTCTCTAAGCCTTTACTTCCTACTTGTAAAATGCTGATGAGAAAAAGAAGGAGGCATGTAGTCCTAATCACTTAGCTTAACCTCTGTGCTGATTTTTGGCGGGGGTTGGGGGCACTTGAGTCGCTTCCCTGGGGCTCCCAGAGAGCTGGGAGAACAATGCAAAGTCTAAGCCTACACCTTCAGAATAATTTTCCTTTTCACACCAGGTCTTGTTGGAAGTCACCTGTTATAGGTCAAGTCAGTCTCAAGCTGGAGGAAACCAAAAATTCTTAGGAACAATATAGTGTCTCCAAAAAATTACTGGAGACAATCATTTGGTCTCCCATAATCTTTGCTCACTGGTATTAGGCTTGAGAATATGTGATATTGCTTGGGAAAATACACTTTGCAGTTGGAATTAAGTTGATAATCAGCTGGCATTAAGTCAGGACATTATTCTGGATTATTCAAGTAGGCCCAATATTATTGCATGGGTACATAAAGTCAGAAGAGGAAGGCAAAAGAGTCAATGAGAGAAATATGGCAAAAGATGAGGAGGCAGAAGAGATAGAAAAGATGCAGAATCATGAGGACTTGACACACTTCCTGTCATTAAAGATGAAGGATGGAGGCCATGAGGCAGGCAGCATCTAGGAGTTGAAAGCAGTTCCCAGATGATGGCCAGCAGGGGATCAGGAACCTCAGCCCTACAACCACATGGAACTAAATTCTGGTAGTAACCTGAATGTCACTGGACATTCTTGTCTCCAGAAAGGAATGTAGCCCAGCTGACACCTTGATTTTGGCCTTATGAGACTCAAAGCACAGAACCAGAAAGATCCACCAGACTTTTGGCCCACACATCTGTAAGGTAATAGATTTTTGTTGTCTTAAGCCACTAAATATGTGGTAATTTGTTATAGAAACTGTGGAAAACTAATACAGGTTTCAAGTAGAAACAGGAGTCAATCTTAGTACCTGAAAAAAGGGAAATGTAATGCATCCACTTTGTTATCCTGGTGGTGGAAGAGCTGAAAAGTCAAAGAGAAAACAGAGGAAAACCTAGAGATTGGTACTAGCAGGGAATGATGACTACTCCTAGGCTCTGGGAACAAAAGGGGGAGTTTGGATGACTGGAACCAAGGGGAGGATTAATAGGCGGAATTTGGAGCCAGTGTGGAGATGCTGCTGTTGCTAAGGATGCAACATTAGGTATGGAAAGAGAAAAATGACTTCCCATTGGCCAAACACAGTGAAAATCTGGCTGACATGGGAACCTTGGAAACACAGCCTGCATGGCACAGGGTGAGGAATGGTGGTGTAAAGTTGGGGAGGGAGACAGATTTCAAGTAAATGGGTCTAGGATTGACATCACATTTCTCTGGAAGTTAGATGGAAGGCAGCTTAGTTGTCTATCATAGATTTTTACCCTGGTATATTTTGAAACTATGTTATTATATTGAAGTAGTTTATAATTGTTACATTTTTGAAGTAAACTTTAAAAAATTGCCATTATATAGTGATCCTTTTCAAGTCTAATAATGCTTTTGGCCTTAAAGTGTTTTTCTGATATCATAAAACCAACTTTCCTTCATCTGGTATTTTCCTGATACATAGTTTTCTGTACTTGTTACCTTTCTGTGTTCTTTTAAGTGTGTTGCATATAAGCATTTGGCTAGATTTTTAAAAATTCGTATCTAAACATCTGTGTTTTTTAATTGGTGAGTATAGTCCATTTATATTTATTGTGGTTGCTGATGTATTTAGTTTCATTTTTACCTTTTACTTGGTGTTTTTAAATTTTTCTCTCGTTTTATGCTTCTTTCCTCTAACTTTCCTTCTTATTTGAAAGTTCTTTACTGTTTCACCCCCCTTAATTGTTACCCTTAAAATTTTAACATGCCTGTCTAGCTTAAAGCCCCAAACTATCAATAGTTCCACACTCATTCACAACATTGCAAGGAACCTAAAAACACCTCAGTCCTGATAACCTGCCTGTGGCCTAACATGCTATTATTTTCTGGTATTTTATTCCTATCTTGCTTTTTCTTTTCTGTAATCTATTCCACATATTTGATACATATAAAATAATTTATCCAAGTGATATGGTTTGGCTCCATGTCCCCACCAAAATCTCATCTTGTAGTTCCCATAATTCCCACATGTCATGGGAGGGGCCTGGTGGGAGATGACTGAATTCTGGAGGCAGGTCTTTCCCGTGCTGTTCTTGTGCTAGTGAATGGGTCTCATGAGATCCAATAGTTTTAAAAATGGGAATTGCCCTGCACAAGCTCGCTCTCTCTTTGCCTGCTGCCATCCACATAAGATGTGACTTGCTCCTTTTTGCCTTTTTCCATGATTGTGAGGCCTCGCCAGCCATGTGGAACCATAACTGCTTAAACCTCTTTCTTTTGTAAATTGCCCAGTCTTGGGTATGTCTTTATCAGTAGCAAGAAAATGGACTAATACAGAAAATTGGTACCAATAGAATGGGGTATAAATGGGTAACAGGCAGAGGTTGAAAAATTTGTTGGGCTTAGAAGAAGACAGAAAAGGCCAGGTGTGGTGGCTCCCTGCACTTTGAGAGGCCGAGGCAGGCAGATCACAAGGTCAGGAGATCAAGACCATCCTGGCTAACATGGTGAAACCCCGTCTCTACTAAAAATACAAAAATTAGCCAGCCATGGTGGCAGGCAACTGTAGTCTCAGCTACTCGGGAGGCCAAGGCAGAAGAATGGCATGAACTTGAAAGGTGGAGCTTGCCATGAGCCAAGATCGCGCCACTGCAACAGAGCAAGACTCCATCTCAAAAAAAAAAAAAAAAAAAAAGGCAGAAAAATGTGGGAAATTTGGAACTTTCTAGAAACTTGTTGAATGGCTTTGCCCAAAATGCTGATAGTGATATGAATAATAAAGTCCAGGCTAAGGTGGTCTCAGATGGAAATGTGGAACTTGTTGGGAACTGGAGCAAAGGTAACTCTTGTTATGTCTTAGCAAAGAGAATGGTGGCATTTTGCTCCTGTCCCAGAGATTTGTGGAACTTTGAACTTGAGAGAGATGATTTAGGGTAACTGGCGGAAGAAATTTCTAAGCAGCAGAGCATTCAAGAGGTGACTTTGGTGCTGTTGAAAGCATTCCGTTTTATAAGGGAAGCAGAGCATAAAAGTTCAGAAGATTTGCAGCCTGACAATGTGATAGAAAAAAAAAATCCCATTTTCTGAGGAGAAATTCAAGCCTGTTGCAGAAATTTGCCTAAGTAACGAGAAGCCAAATGTTATTCCCCAAGACAATGGAGAAAATGTCTCTAGGGCATGTCAGAGGTCTTCACAGCAGCCCCTCCCATCACAGGCCTGGAGGCCTAGGAGGAAAAAGTGGTTTCATGGGCCAGGCCCAGGGTAACCATGTTGGGTGCACCCTAGGGACTTGGTGCCCTGCATCTTAGCCTCTCCAGCCATGGCTGAAAGGGGCCAATGCAGAGCTCAGGCTGTGGCTTTAGAGGGTGCAAGCCTCAACCCTTGTCAGCCTCCCTGTAGTGTTGAGCCTGTGAGTGCACAAAAGTCAAGAATTGAGATTTGGGAACCTCCACCTAGATTTCAGAAGATGTATGGAAACATGTGGATGCCCAGGCAGATGTTTGCAGCAGGGGTGGGGCTCTCATGGAGAACCTTTGCTAGGGCAGTACAGAAGGGAAATGTGGGGTCAGAGCCCCCACACAGAGTCCCTGTTGGGGCACTGCCTAGTAGAGCTGTGAGAAGAGGGCCACCATCCTTCAGATCCCAGAATGGTAGATCCACCGACAGCTGGCACTATGTGCTTGGAAAAGCCACAGACACTCAATGCCAGGGCTTGAAGGCAGCCAGAAGGGAGGCTGTACCCTGCAAAGTGATAGGGATAGAGCTCCCCAGGACCATGGGAACCCACCTCTTGCATCAGGGTGATCTGGATGTGAGACATGGATTCAAGGAGATCATTTTGGAGTTTTAAGATTTGACTGCACTACTGGAGTATGGACTTGCAGGAGGCCTGTAGCTCATTTGTTTTGGTCAATTTCTCCCATTTGGAATTGCTGTATTTACCCAATTCCTGTACCCCTATTGTATCTAGGAAGTAACTAACTTGCTTTTGATTTTACAGGTTTATAGGCAGAAGGGACTTGCCTTGTCTCAGATGAGACTTTGGACTCTGGACTTTTGAGTTAATGCTGAAATGAGTTGAGACTTTGGGGACTGTTGGGAAGGTGTAATTGGTTTTGAAATGTAAAGATATGAGATTTGGGAGGGGCCAAGGGTGGAATGATATGGTTTGGCTCTGTGTCCCAACCCAAATCTCACCTGGTAACTCCCATAATTTCCATGTGTTGTGGGAGGGACCTGGTGGGAGATGACTGAATTATGGGGGCAGGTCTTTCCTGTGCTATTCTTGTGATGGTGAATGGGTCTCACAAGATCTGAGGGTTTTAAAAATGTGGGTTTCCCTGCACAAGCTCTCTCTTTGCCTCCTGCCATCCACATAAGATGTTAATTGCTCCTCCTTGCTTCCACCATGATTGTGAGGCCTCCCCAGCCACGTGAAACTGTAAGTGCATTAAACCCCTTTCTTTTGTAAATTGCACAGTCTCAGATATGTCTTTTTTTGGCATCATGAAAACAGAATAATACACCAAGTTATAAAACATGACAATTGATGAACATCCATGTATCCACCATCAAGTGTATGGTTTATGCATTACCTGTAAATTGTTATGTGCTTTTTCTCTATCACCTTCTCCTCTATTTCCTCCTCAGAGGGAACCACTTCTGATGTTTTTTTGTTACTTGTTTTTATCTGAAAAATTTGTTGAATTGCAGCAACAATAGAAAAACAGAAAAATTTGTTGAATTGCAACAACAATAGAAAAACAGAAAAATTTGTTGGATTGCAGCAACGATAGAAAAATTTTAAATTTAAACAATTTTAACAAAGGTTAACTAACTTTGTTGGATATGTTTAATAATGTTATACTCTTTTTAGGACTTGCTTTAAAAAAACTCAACATTATATTTTCAAGAAAACACATTGCTTTGTGTAGCTGCATTTTATTCCTATCCACTGCTATATAATATTCCATGAGTGAGATCATAATTTGTTATCTATTTTCTTCCAATAGGTAGTTTCTCCAGTTTTTCTATTATGAACAACGCTTTTGTGAGAATTCATGTATTAGTCAGTTTTCACATTGCTCTGAAGAACTGCCTGAGACTGGGTAATTTATAAAGGAAACAGGTGTAATTGACTTACAGTTCCACATGGCTAGGGAGGACTCAGGAAAGTTATAATCATGGCAAAAGGGGAAGAGGGCACCTTCTTCACAAATAACATTTGGCAAGAGAGAGTGTGAACATGTGAAGGAGGAACTGTCAAACACTTATAAAAGCATCAGATCTTGTGAGAGCTCACTCGCTATCATGAGTACAGCATGGGGGAACCACCCCCATGATCTAATCACCTCTCACCCAGTTTCTCCCTCGACATGTAGATATCATGGGGGTTACAATTCAAGATGAGATTTGGGTGGGGACGCAGCCAAATCATATTGATTCATGTCATCTAGGATGTATACTTAAGAACAGAAGAACTGGGGCATTGCTGAAAACTATTTAGCATTTTATTTTATCTCCACATTTTAGATATGCCTATCTACTATTCTTTTTTTGCATCTTAGACCTCCCTTCTGGAATAATTTTCCTTTCCATAAATCGTCCTTTAGAAGTTACTAAATGATGCTGGGCACAGTGACTCACACTTGTAATCCCAGCACTTTGGGAGGCTGAGGCAGGTGAACCACTTGAGGCCAGGAATTCGAGACCAGCCTAGCCAACATGGTGAAATGCCATCTCTACTAAAAAATACAAAAATTAGCCAGGTGTGGTGGCACACACCTATAATCCCAGCTACTTGGGAGGCTGAGGCATGATAATCACTTGAACCTGGGAGGTGGAGGTTTCAGTGAGCTGAGATCGCACCACTGCACTCCAGCCTGGGTGACAAAGTGAGAACTGGTCTCAAAAATAATAAGTTACTTAATGAAGACATCACACTTTCCCATCTCAGCTTTGAAAATGTTGCCAGCCATCACCTTCCCCCAGATTAAGGTTTGAAAAATTATTCTTTGAGTGAAATTGATAACTTAAGAGAAAAGTACTTATGAATAATGACATTTGGGAGTGCCTGTATCAAAGGGCTGAGTCTTTGCCCTATGCCTTCATGTGAAACCTTCAATACCCGCAGAGGTGACAATAGCATTTCTCACTTCAGTTTTAAATATG